TGCAGGACCCTGCCGACTTCTTGTCATTGCTTGTATGCACGCCTTACCAGACAGCAATTTAAAGGCATCAGCCTTTCGGTGCGGTTCACTTTGTTGTTCTGGTCTCTTCCACTTCCCTGACACTTGAAAACCGCACTCGCACTGTAAAATGAGGTGACCCTGGTGAATGTGCTTCCACCTTGTCTGCTTTGTCAACCCACTTGAAATGGGTTCCAAGGCTGCAGAAGCTTCTCGTGAAATCGGCAGCATGGCGTTTGGAGAGGGTGTGGTATACAGGATGTGGTGATGGAACGCACCATCCAGAATCGAAGGCTTGAAGCGATTAAATGCCGATGGTGGGTAATGGTGGGTAATGGTGGGTGGTGAATCACCACCACGTGATGATGCACCACAATGACGAAGGCGTTCCGTGGTTTGGAGTAACTCAGCATTACCGAGTGATGAAATGGTGCTGTTAGATGTGCATCAATTGGGAAAGGAAAGTGGTAAAGTGTACGAAGGCAATGGGTCTCACTTGCGTGTCATGCCTTAACAGATGCTGGACGCACGACAAACTTCAACGCCCATCAATTTGGCGTTCTTCACTGCCCCCTCACGTGCGTTGTAAGAAGACACCGCGTTGTGAGAGGGTTGTGTGTCAAATGCCTTTCCCACTGACTTGTGATGAGAAATGGTTTTTGTTTTGTGACGTGAAGTGAAGGGACATGTCATTGGTTAGTCCCACCCAAACGGTTCACCCACTAACCACTTCACGCTTCCATGGCACCACTTCTTCATCTCCAGTACACTACGCCTGCAGATGCAATTGTTCACTACAAGTTATTCACCCTTTGAAGACCAGACCACAAGTGCGGCTGAGGTGCCGATAGACTCAATGCAACTGGAAGATGTGGAAAAGCCTTCTTCTGGCGAAACATGGAGGGTTGGTTAATGGGTGGTAGAGAAGTCTTATCACTGTTCTTATAAGAGAAGGTATGACGGGCCATGACCCCATACCCCTACAAATCTTGACTGTGGGAAGGTTTTTGTGCCGTACTTTAGGACAGGATGGGA